CCAACCCCTGTGATTCTGTGATGCTGTGATCTTGCCCAGCCATGGGCCCCATGTCAGGGTGGTGGGGCTGATGTGGGCTCTACAGGAAGGTGGGTTTATGGTCCAAGGTGGCACTTTGGCAGGGTTCATGGCTTGCAGAGTGAGCAGGCAGCAGCCACCCTTCACTCTCTTCTGCAGCCTTGGCTCAGCCGTGGCCCCCAAAAAAGGGGTCCCCTGGAGGATGAGGGGGCTCCCTGGGCTCCATTTCATGGCTGTCATCATGGGGATGTGGCTGGTGCCTGGCAGTGTCCCCCCATGCTGCAGGGCTGGCTGTGAGGGGGTGGGTTAAAAAATTTGAGACCGATCGAGACCCTGGGCAGTGTTGGGTGAGCAATGACCACGAGCAGCCTCTGCCAGGCACTGCTGTGCACCATGGTGAGGGGGCAGAGCAAACATCCTCACCCAGCGCCCGTGTCCTCGTCTGCAGGTCCCTTGCCAGAACCAGTTGCCAACGGAGAAGGTAAGAGAACCTTAACTTGCTTTTAATCCCATCTGTGCCAGTCTCCAGGCAGGGACCCTCCCTGTTCAGGTGTCCCCATGGGTGGGTGATGCCACCAGAGACCACAGTGCTCCAGGCTGCCACACAACAGCAAGTGCTACTGGGGAAGGGACTGGGAGCTGGTGCCCCCCAAGGAAGGGGGTTGCTTGTGGGGTTGAGTTTCATGGAGGTGGCTGCAATTCCTTCCTTCCTCCTCCTCTTGTTCCTCTATCCTCATGGTGCTGCAGGGCTGGGAGCCCTTGTGCTGCTGGAGGGAAGTAGCATTCAGCCTTGCAGCCACTCTCCTCCTCCTCCCCCTAAAGCCGGGCAGTCAGGCCGGGGTTTAATCCTTCCCTGCCCTGGATGGGCAGCGCTGGAGGTATTTATGAGCCTGGAGGTCCCAGGGGATTATGTGTGGGGAGGACGGATTTCACGGCCCCTGGGTGGGACTCACAATTCCAGGGGCTGTTCCCAAACCCAAGGGCTGGAGCTGCCCCACTCACACTCTGTCCCTGCTTCCCCCCAAGGAAAATGGTGGGGAACCACAGTCCAACTCTGTGTCCGAGAGCCCGTCCAGCCCCGGGCCACTGACCTTGTCCCCCGACTCCGGTGAGACCCACAGCGAGGTAAGGCTGGGGATGCTGGGGGGAGGCGGTGGCTGGAAAGCAGGAGCCCCCACTGTGGGGCTGTCCTGGGGGCATGGTGGGGCTGACACAGCCTCTCACCCCCCAGCCCGACATGCAGGAGGGTGACAAGCGCCATTCAGCGCCCGGCTCCCTCCTGGACCTCGACATCCCACTGGCAGTGGCCAAGGAGCGCCCCAGATGGACTGGAGCAAGAAAAACGAACTGTTCAGCAACCTGTGAAGGAGCTGGGGTGGGGGTGAGGGTCCACCAGCCCCCCCTTGGCCTCGCACCCACCTCTCCTCCATCCCACTCCTCCCGCCACGGGCTCCTGGCGG